CGGCTGGCATACTCGTCTCCACGACCGCCACTTGCTCATGGTTCTGAGCCGCGGGGAACCTTTAGGCCCCGAGCTGACCCAGATACACCGCGAGGTGGGGCTTCCCTCCCTCGAGCTCCCCATCGCACCGCGCTGGGTCAGTGAGCTGTCGGAGGCGCTGCGTTTCCGTTTGGCCTACAAGTGGGAATTCCGCACGCCCCGCCACATCAATATCCTGGAGACCACCGTGTTCAAGAGTCTGTGCAAGTACTGTTGCATCCGCAACCCTGACTCACGGATCCCTGTTCTCTTGGATTCCCAAGTGGCATTAGGCGCGGCCGCCCACGGTCGGAGCAGCAGCCCTGGCCTTTCGCACGTGTTGAGCACCTGCTTGCCCTACATTTTGGGGGGCGGGCTCTACATGGGCGGGCTCTACGTCCCGACCGACGTCCACCGAGCGGACGACCCCACGCGCAATCGCCCTGTTCGCCCCCCCTCGCGTGTCGAGCCTGCTTGGTTGCTTGACATAGACGAGGGTCGCTTTGAGCGATTCGACATGATAGCGGCCGCCGACGCCGCCTCCGCGTACCCGACTTGTCTGTGGGGCCGGTTCGTGCTGCAAGTTCTGGCTCGCAGCCCCGCCGCGGGCGCAGGCCCGCTCGGGCACCCCGAGGATCGCCACGTGGGAGCGCCAGCCCGGGTCGACAGGGGCGACGCGACGGCCTCCGCCGAGGCCCGCGACGCATATGAAAGCGCCGCGCCGCGCAGGGGGGCTCCTGTCTCCGTCAAGGTGCCCTCGAGCGCGGCGGCGGTGAGCTTCTCCGCGTCGCGCTGCACTCGCGCCCGTGACAGCCTGCCGGCCGCCCCTCGGGTACCAAGCCCTTCGCCGTCCCCGCCGGTAGGCATGCGCCCCTCCAGCGATGCTGTTGCGGCCCCGCAGGGAGGGGTTCGCGCCGCCGGTGGAGGGCCAGGAGAGGGCGCGCCCGAGCGGAGGTCACGCGCCAAGAGCGACGCAATCGCCGCTGCTCGACCTGGTACGCCCAAGGGGGACGCTCACCCCGTCTCGCTTCTGTCGGAGGCGAACGGCTCGGCTCCAGCTTCGTTGGGGGGTCTTCTGGGTCGTCCGTCCGTCACGATTCAGACTCGCCACCGCCAAGATCGTGCCGCCAAACTTGTTGCCGCGCTCGATTTGCTCCACCTGGAGCGCGGTGCGACCACTGATCGCGTGAACGCTCAGTTTCGACGGATGGGTTGGGCCTGCCATCCCGACCGCGATAAGTCGATCGAGGCCAGCAGGAAATGGCGTGCTCTCTGTGACGCCAAAGCCTTCCTCCTCGGGCCTGGGCGCGACGTTACCGGCCCCGATGCCCCGGCCTCTGGCGGCGCTACTCGCCGTGCTTTGGGCAGAGGGCTCTTGGCGGCGGGAAGGCGTGACGACGCGAACCGCTCGCGCGGGGTCGCCACTCGGGATTCGGCTCTCGACGCCTCCCTCGGTGCTCGCCTCCGCGGCATGCCGGGGGAGCGTCGGAGCGCCCCTGGCGCGTCTCCAGACGCAGAGCCGAGCGCGGTCGCTAGCTGCAGCGACCCAGGGTCGCGGGCTGCGCCACGTTGCACGGTGCAGACCCCCGCGATGCCTACTGCCGCCATGCGACGCACGCAAGCTCGCCCGGGGGCCGACCTGGGGGCCGCCCGTACCGCGGCCGCGGTGCTCCCGCCCTTTCGAGCCAGCACCCTGCCCCCCCTGCCAGGGTGCCGCGCCGACGCCCATAGCGTCGCGCCGCGCGCCAGCTCTGCACCTGCCCTGCTGGCCGGGCGCTCGCTGGGCGCAGCGGCTATGCTGCGTGCTACCCGCGAGCGGGCTGCCAGTGCGGCCACCGCCGGGGCGGCACAACACAGGGCCGTGCTTCCGTGGGGCCACAGCGCAGAGCGCAGCGAGGTGTCGCCGGCTCCCAGCTTTGCCGACTCCTGCTGCGCCGGCCAGCGTGCCGACTCTTGCGCCGCCCAGCTCACCGCGTCCCGCGGCGACCAGCTCACTGACTTGCAGCCCTCCCAGCTCACCGACTCCCGCACCGACCAGCTCGCCGACTCCCGCGCCGACCAGATCGCCGACTCGCGTGCCGAGGGGCTCGCCGACGCCCGCACCGACCAGCTCGCTGACGCCTTCACCCGTTCCGACTCCCGTGCCGATCCTCTCACCGGATTAGCATTGCGCACCAGCCGGGTCGTTGGCCCGACGGCCACGGTTGCGAGGCGCGTGCGTGACGAACGGCGCGCTCTGGCGCGGTTCCGTGCCTCGGTCGATGTTCTCGACGCCGCTCTTACCGAAGTTGAATTCGGTCGAGGCGCGGAGGCTTGGGGTCCAAGTGCAGGAGAGCTGGCTGAGCTTTTGCAGACGACACTGGCCGAGCTCGAGCGCCAGAAGGCTGCGTTGCGCATCGCCCGCTCTCGCACTGCCGAGTGCGTCAGAGGGTCCGCTTCCGCCTCGGGCTTTTCGGGTGGAGGCGCCGCCGCAGCCGCTGCCGGCGCACCCCCGAGAGCTCCCGCCACGGCTGGTAGCGCTACTTTTGCAGCTCAAGCGAAGGAGCGTGCGGATAAGCACACGGCTAGCTATCGCGACGTGGTCGAGGCTAGGGCTCATTCGGGCGCCCAGGCGTCGCATCCGCGCGAGCGCCGTGGCGTCGGGCGCCCGTGCTCTGCGGCGCCCGTCACGCCACGGACCGCCATTAGTTGCGATGAGCGCTCCCGCTCCGCAGCACCTGCCGCCACCCGCTCGGCTGCGTTTTCCGAGACGCTGTGCGCTGTTGACCGCAGGCGGCGCGAGCACTCCCCAGGACTCAGGCCTCTGATCCTGGACGGCACGGACCGCCAGCCGGAAGCCGCGCCGAGCACCGGCGAGGTCGTCGAGGCCCCCCGCGCCGAGCAACGCGGCCGCACCTCGCGTCGCAAGCGCAGGCGTGTTCGGGCTTCCGCCGGAGCGGCAGCTACCACTCCTGCCAATCCCTCTGGTCAAGAGCCGCCCGCGTCAGCCTTCGTGGCAGGGCGCCAGGACTGGCCTGCCTCTCTGGAGCCTGCCCTTCCCGAGGGGGCTTCCGAGGCCCTCGGGGTGAAGGTGGAGAGCCACTCTCGGCGCGTCCCCTCTTGCGGCGACCAGCGCACTCGTTCGCTTAAGGCGTTTGACGTGTGGTGCGCCGAGCACACAGGAGTGGCACTTGCCACATGGGCTCGCAGCGGCATCTTGCTCGGGAGAGCGCTCGCGACCTTCGGCGTGTGGTTGTACGATGCTGGCTTCCCCCGCCTCGTCCTCGTGAATGCGATCCGGGGAGCACAGGCCCTTCAGCCCCACTGGAGGGGCTTCCTCACCGAGGCGTGGGATGTGGCGGAGCGGTGGATCCCTTCCAAGCCTCCCTGTCCCCTCCCACCGCTACCGCGTGCTCTGCTGCGCGCCATGGTAGCGTTGTGCCTCGCATGGGACTGGCCGGATATGGCCACCCTGCTGCTTGCCGGGTTCACTATGTCCGTGAGGCCTGGTGAGTTGGCAACCGCCCGCCGGAGCGACCTCACTCTGCCCATTGACCGCCGTGAGTCCACGGGCGACGCTTTGCTGAGCATCTCTGTTCCGGAGGCCCGGGGGTCTGGCGGAGAGCGTCAACACGCTCGGTGCTCCGATCGTGCAGTGGTCAGGATGATGGAGCTGGTCTTTAGAGATTTGAGTCCCACCGATCCCCTATTGACCTTCGGTCAAAGCGGCTTCCGCACTCGGTGGCTCGATCTTCTTTCGGCGCTGGGCGTCCCGCTCGCCAGAGCGCCATCGGGGTTCGATCTGTCCCCTGCGCTGCGCTTCAGAACCGATATTTCGGACGGCATTAATCGCGTCTTCTGGCGTGATCGCTGGCGGCTAGCTTCCAGTACAGAGCGCTATCTCCACGATGCTGCCGCCTCTGCAGTCCTCCCATCATTGGCTGAAGCCGCTCGGGACCGCGTTTCTTACCTCGCCGAAGCAAGCGACCTCCTCGTCGCATCCTTTCTGAATGTTGGCCCAGCTGTGTGGCCCATTCAGCTCGCGGCCGCCCGCCTAAACCTTGTCACTTCGCAAGGGCTTTGAGCCTGGGTATGGCTGCTGCGGCCTCCCTTGGCCGCCCGGGTGCCCTCGTTGGACGAGGCCGCCTGAGAGCGTCGCACGGCCCGCCCGCGTAGGCCTGTCCCGCTTTACGGGCCGCCGCGGGCGCGCGCCGCGCGTTCGCCCTGAGACGACTGCTCACTTGCGCAGCGTGCGGGGATGCTCCTTCTTATCCCCATCGCGCCCGCTGATTGCAGTCGTCTGCAGCTTCTCGGCCCCCTCCCTCTCTCCTCCCTCCTTCTTCGAAGGCTGACCTGCGGCGCTGCTGCGGCCTCCCTTGGCCGCCCGGGTGCCCTCGTTGGACGAGGCCGCCTGAGAGCGTCGCACGGCCCGCCCGCGTAGGCCTGTCCCGCTTTACGGGCCGCCGCGGGCGCGCGCCGCGCGTTCGCCCTGAGACGACTGCTCACTTGCGCAGCGTGCGGGGATCCTCATCCTCATTATCATCCTCATCCTCATCCTTCTGCTCCTCTTACTCATCCTCCTCCTCCTCCGCCTCCTCCTGGTCCTCCTCCTCCTCCTCCTCATTCTCCTCCTCCTTCTTCTCTACAATCGTCTCCTCCTCCTCATCATCATCCTCCTTCTCCTCTTCCTCCTCCTCCTCCCCCTCCTCTGCCTCCTTATCTTCCTCCTCTTCCTCTGGCACCCATCCCGGTCAGGCCGATCCCCGGCACCAAGATCGGCATGTACGTTTTTCCTTGGCCTGGGAGAGGGAGGCATGTGCACCGATCCCAGGCCCAGGGGTCGGCCTCGCCCGGAGCGGTGCTGTGGTACATCGGGGGGGGAGGGGGGAACGCTTCTTAGAAGCACCCCTTCTTCTTAGAAGCCTTCCAACCTCCCCGGACCCCCCTCTGCGCGCCGCCAACCGGAGCGGTGCGGGTGTACAGTACAGCCGACGCCATCCTGCCAGGAGCAGTTCGGCGTCGACGAGCACGGCGAAGTCCTCGACAGGGCCACGTTCGACGCCGCCGTCGCCGCCCTGGCGGCGCCGGCGGCCGCGGCAGACCGTGAGGCGGCTACCGAGCCCGCGAAGGTCCTGAAGTTGGCCGTGGTGGAGGCCGTCCTTCCCCCCTGCCCTCCTCCACCTCAACATCGTCGTCGCCATGATGTACCCCTACCCGCCGCCTCCCTCTTCTTGCTGATAACTACTGATCCCATTCCTCCTCATCATCATCATCCTCATCCTCATCATCATAATCATCATCACCACCATCACAACCACCATCACCATCACCATCACCATCACCATCACCATCACCATCACCATCACCATCACCATCCTCCTCCTCCTCCTCCTCCTCCTCCTCCTCCTCCTCCTCCTCCTCCTCCTCCTCCTCCTCCTCCTCCTCCTCCTCCCCATCCTCCCCATCCTCCAGTTCCTGCTCCTCCTCCTCCTCCTCCTCCCCTCCTCCTCCTCCTCCTCCTCTCCTCCCCTCCTCCCGCCCGACCTTCCCTTCCCCCCGTCCACCTCCCTCCCCCCATTCCTCCCTCCCCCATCCCTCGCTCCCCTCCTCCCCCTCCCTCCCTCGTCCTCCCCCCTCCCATCCACATCCCCCCTCGCCCCTCGTCGTCCGCCCCCCCCCGTTCCCTTCCACGGCGACGGTGGCGACGGGTGACGGCGGCGTCAACGATGGCGGCGGCCACGTCCCCGACGACAACGGCCCACGGGCCATGGCGACAGGCGAAGGTGACGACGGGCGACGGTGGCGTCGGGCGCCGCGGACGGCGACGGTGGCGATGGGGCAGCGGCGGCGGCGGCGGCGGCGGCGACGACGACGACTACGACGACGACGTCGGCGACCACGGACGACGACTGACCACGACCGACGACGACGGCGGCGACCGACGACGGCGTCGACCGACGACGGCGGCGACGGCGGTGGCCGCGTCGCAGGACAGTGCAGCCCGCGCCCGCCGCACCCCCGGGGCCGCGGACGGCGCGGCGGCCGCCAGCGGCGCGCCCGGCGCCGCGGCTCAGCGGCGTGAGGGCGGCGGGCGTCGTCTGGTCGGTCGTCGCTGGCGCCCAGGCCCCTTGGCAGGGCTCGTTTCGGTTCCTCCGATTCGATTCGATTTCGATGGCTCCCGATTCGATTCGATATTATTTCGGATTCCGACTTCAGCTCCGATGTCGCAAGCGAGGCCTATTGAACTGCCAATATCCGCCGGTTCGACTTTTCCCGATTCGGCTGCCCATTTCCGCCGCTCCGATTGATTTGGATTGCCGGTTCGACTCATCGATTCGATCATGGGCTCTCTTGCCCTGGCGTCGCAAAGACTTGTGAGGAGGTCCGAGTCGAAACGGCTCCCGGGCCAAACTTCCTCGGGCCTCCCGTTCCCTTTGTGGGACTCTCCTGTGGTCTTTTCGTGTTGGCATCAGATCCCTCCAGTGCAACGCTGTTGAAGGAAAGTCGCGACGGGTGGGGGTTCTTGCCATTGTTGGCCTCACGGGGCCCTCGCCAGGCCCCGGGACAGGAGGACGACGAGGAGGAGAAGGAGGAGAAGGAGGAGAAGGAGGCGGAGAAGGAGGAAGCGGAGGAGGAAGAGGAGGAGGAGGAGGACAAAAGCAATCCAGGATGAAAGATTGGTCCCTGGGGAGGGGTCCAGGCGTCCTGTGGCGGAATTTGGGCTGTTTTCGGCCTCCGGGGGCCCTCGTCGGGCCTCGGGGCCGTCAAAAATTATTCGGGGCGAAAAACCGCCCCCGGGGAAGTGGTCTGGACCATTGGGGCCCCCGCATCGCGAAAATTGAAGCGGCAGCCAGCCGCCCCCTCCCCTGCATTCCCCCCTGCTCCGGCCTTCGCGCAGAAGCTCGGCGCCGCTGCATCTGGGCAGCAGAGGGAGTCCTATTCGAGAGGTCCGTTGCAAAGTGCGTGCGCACATGGCGCAGGTCAGCCGGCCGCGCTGTGTAGACTCCCATCGCGGCTTCCATACGTTCTCTTGTTGTCGTCGACCTTGGCCTGCCCGGCAAAGTCGCCAAGTCCACGGCGTGCCCGGGGCGAGGGCCAGTTCAGAAGCGGAAGCGGGGTGCAACGGTTGGGCAGTGCGATCTCGACCGAGATCACCACGGGCCCAGATGTCCGGCTGCTCCAATGTTTGTGATGCGTGGGCCCTGGAGGTCTGGACCGCTTCCCCAGGACCAGTTTTTCGTCCTGAGTCGTTCTTTGACGATCCCGGGGCCCCGCGAGGGCCTCCCGAGGCCGAAAGCGGCCAGAAGCCGCCCGCTCGAATCTTCGTGTGGGGCGTCGGATCTCAGGGGGGGGGAGTCTCTGCGGAGGTGCTCCTCCAGCCTCGCTCGCGCGAGCTTCTCGCCCGCCAAAGAGTCTTTGCCCGTCCCGCTCGGCCGAGGTGCTCCGCACGGGCAGCCGCACCTGCGGCCGGGGCTGCTCGGAGCCGCGCTCGGCTGCCGCCCCGCCCGAGAGGGGGCCCTCTCCGCGGGGGGGGGGGGGGGGGGCTGCCAGCCGGGGCGGGCCGTGCGGGGCGTTGCTTGTGGCGGCAGTGGGCCCTCGCTCGGCCACGCTCGGCGGCGAGCGAGGGGAGGAAATGGGAAGGAGGAGGCCTTCTCAGAAGAGGAGGAGGAGGAGGAGGAGGAGGAGGAGGAGGAGAGGGAAGGGAGAAGGAGGAGGCCTCCTCCGAAGGCGGCGGGGCTTCTCGGAAGCCCTCGCGATTTCTGAGAAGCTCTTTTTTTGTCTTCGGGGAATGTTCAGGAGACTCCGCAGAAGGCCGGGGGACTTCCGGGCCTTCTGATAAGGAGGGCTTCTCCTTCTCCTTTCCCCCCTTCGTTCACCGCCGATACACGTAAGAGTGACCTCGCTCGGCTCCTGCCGCTGGGGCCCCCCCGCGGGGGAGGCCGCCTCTGCGGGGACGTCGGGGTGGGCCGTGCGGATCCTACTTGTGGCTGCAGTGTTTCCTCGTTCGACTCCACGTCAGAGTGACCTTTCGCCAGAGTGACCTTTGTCGGCCACGCGCAGAGGGAGGCAGGGGGAGGGGGGAGGGCTTCTTAGAAGCGCCCTTGCTTCTCAGAAGTCGCGGGCCTTATCTGCAGACGTAGGGCGGGCGCCTTCTGAGAAGCAGCCTCCTTCGAAGAAGCCTTCCCCCCTCCCCCTATACCCCCTTATGCGCGCCGTCAGTTTTTTTGCGGGCCCAACGCCCACCCCACCCCCCCGATCGCGAAAAAGGCGATGCCACAGCAGCGCCCCGCGTGCTCGGGGTTGGCCCCTCCGCCCCCCCCCCCCCCCCAAAAAGCCGCGCACCAGAGGTCGCGCTTGAACCCAGGGTCGCTCCTGCGTGCAGCCGCCTCGGGGCGGCCGATGGGCCTCCCCCTTGAGAGGGGGAGGGGGAGGGAGAGGAGGGGAGGGGGAGGGGGGGGGAGTAGGAGGAGGAGGAGGAGGAGGAGAGGGAGGAGGGAGGAGGATGAGGAGGAGGAGGAGGAGGAGGAGGAGGAGGAGGAGGAGGAGGAGGGGAGAGGAGAGGAGGAGGAGGGGGGTCATGCTTATGGCGTTTTCTCTTCTTCTGAGAGGGCCTCCTGGGCGCCCCCAGCAATGCCTGGGCCCGCGCGGGCACCGGTGTGGTATGGGGAGTCCGAGAAGAGTGCGTGGCCCCTGTGCCCAAGGACGCGGACGCCGGTCATATTTCACGGGGGGGCAGCAAGAAAACGCCATCTTTTTGGGGGGGCTGGCCGGGCGCTTTCTTCAAGAGATCGGCCGGCTGAGTGTTGTGGCGTGCGTCGGCCGTCGCAGTCCCTGCCGAGCTCGCCCTCGCTCCGCATAGAGCGCGAGCGCTGCCAAGCGGCGCCAGTCCGAGGTTTCACTTGCCCCGGGGCCGGGGGCCAGGCTTGCGCGAGAGCGCCCACCCCCTGCCCTTGTTGGCGACTCGCGCGGGCCCGATTGGGCGGGGCCGACTGGGCCGACCAATCCCATGCAAAATGACACGCAGGTCGCGTGTGAGTGTTGCCTTCGATGAAGGGCGCAGCGAAGTGTGACAAGCACTGAGGAGTGATGAAGTCCGTGAACCGATGGGGACTTGAGCGCAGGCTGCGCTTTCGGGATATACCTGAAAGCATGCCTGCTTCAGTGTGTATTATGTACCCTTCCAGCTTCTCTATTGCCCAAAACACTGTTGTGCTTCTGTATGCCAGAGCGCCTGACGGCCTCTAGCGCATCCAGTGCAAACGGTCTTCCCACGCAAACATCCAGTGGCCGCGTGATCTGGGCCGGCCGCGCGCGCTTTCTTGCCGGACTGTCTCCGCCGCGCCGCTGCGCGCGTGGCCGCGACACCCAAAGATTGAGCGCTGCGCCTTCCGAGGGTGCTGACTTTCTGTCTGGCCTCCACGGGGTCTGGGGTGCTTTTTCGATCCCTACCTTTTTTCATGGGTATATTTTTTCCAGGGCACACCTCGCTCGTCGACCAGCGCCTGCGCCTTTGGCGGACGCCGCGAACGCCTTGGGCCCAGCATTCGGGGGGTGGCGAACGACTTCGACCTCGCCTTCCGGCCTTGCCGCACGGTTCCTCGGGGTTCTGTTTCGCCATGGAGCGAGGGTATTCCATCGCCCGGGTGGGGCGACATCCATTGCCGTTGGCATTCGAGTGCCCTGAGAGGGGAGCCGCGGTATGCAAAATTATCCCGGCAAAGCAACCTAACAGCGATGTGTAGGAGCATATCTGGAAGCATTACCTTAAGATTCAGATGAGAATATTGTTGTAGAATTCTGTTGTTCTCGCAGTCGTAGTCGCATTCGCGATGGCAGTCGCAGTGGCAACGGCAGGCTCAGTCACAGCCTCAGCCTCAGCCTGCCTCAGCCTCAGCCTCAGCCTGACTCAGCCTCAGCCTGCCTCAGCCTCAGCCTCAGCCTGCTTCAGCCTCAACATCAGTCTGCCTTCAGCCTCGGCCTCAGCCTCAGCCTGCCTCAGCCTCAGCCTGCCTCAGCCTCAGCCTCAGCCCTCAGCCAGCCTGCCTCAGCCTCAGCCTGCAGCCTCAGCCTGCTTCAGCCTCAGCCTCAGCCTCAGCCTCTCAGCCGCCTCAGCCTCAGCCTCGCCCCTCAGCCTCAGCCTCAGCCTCAGCCTGCCTCTGCCTCAGCCTCTGAGTCAGCTCAGCCTCAGCCTCAGCCTCAGCCTGCAGCCTCAGCATCAGTCCGCCTCAGCCTCAGCCTCAGCCTGCCTCAGCCTCAGCCTGCAGCCTCAGCCTCAGCCTCAGCCTCAGCCTCAGCCTGCCTCAGCCTCAGCCTGCCTCAGCCTCAGCCTCAGCCTGCCTCAGCCTCAGCCTCAGTCTGCCTTCAGCCTCGGCCTCAGCCTCAGCCTGCCTCAGCCTCAGCCTGCATCAGCCTCAGCCTCAGCCTCAGCCTGCCTCAGCATCAGCCTGCCTCAGCCTCAGCCTCAGCCTGCCTCAGCCTCAGCCTCAGCCTGCTTCAGCCTCAGCCTCAGTCTGCCTTCAGCCTCGGCCTCAGCCTCAGCCTGCCTCAGCCTCAGCCTGCATCAGCCTCAGCCTCAGCCTCAGCCTGCCTCAGCATCAGCCTGCCTCAGCCTCAGCCTCAGCCTGCCTCAGCCTCAGCCTCAGCCTGCTTCAGCCTCAGCCTCAGTCTGCCTTCAGCCTCGGCCTCAGCCTCAGCCTGCCTCAGCCTCAGCCTGCATCAGCCTCAGCCTCAGCCTCAGCCTGCCTCAGCATCAGCCTGCCTCAGCCTCAGCCTCAGCCTGCCTCAGCCTCAGCCTCAGCCTCTGCTTCAGCCTCAGCCTCAGTCTGCCTTCAGCCTCGGCCTCAGCCTCAGCCTGCCTCAGCCTCAGCCTGCATCAGCCTCAGCCTCAGCCTCAGCCTGCCTCAGCATCAGCCTGCCTCAGCCTCAGCCTCAGCCTGCCTCAGCCTCAGCCTCAGCCTGCTTCAGCCTCAGCCTCAGTCTGCCTTCAGCCTCGGCCTCAGCCTCAGCCTGCCTCAGCCTCAGCCTGCATCCTCAGCCTCAGCCTCAGCCTCAGCCTGCCTCAGCCTCAGCCTCAGCCGCCTCAGCCTCAGCCTCAGCCTGCTTCAGCCTCAGCCTCAGTCTGCCTTCAGCCTCGGCCTCAGCCTCAGCCTGCCTCAGCCTCAGCCTGCCTCAGCCTCAGCATCAGCCTGCCTCAGCATTCAAAATGTGGCCCGGGAATGGAGTTCTGGGAACTCGAAGAACACGAAGTGGCTTACAGTTGGCTCCGGGCATTCAAAATCATGCCCAGGAATGGAGTTATGGGAACTCGAAGACCACGAAGTGGCCTACAGTTGGCTCCGGGCATTCAGAATGTGGCCCGGGAATGGAGTTCTGGGAACTCGAAGAGCACGAAGTGGCCTACAGTTGGCTCCGGGCATTCAAAATGTGGCCCGGGAATGGAGTTTGGGGAACTCGAAGACCACGAAGTGGCCTACAGTTGGCTCCGGGCATTCGGAATGTGGCCCGGGAATGGAGTTCTGGGACCTCGAAGACCTCGAAGTGTGTAATTGTTGGCTAAAAAAAGTCCCCGGCACCCTCCCCCGGATCGCGCCCAGACCCCCTTGGGGCGTCATGATGCTTTCTTTTGACCCTACTAGAAGCCTATCAGTCTTCGCTGTTAGGTAAAAACAGTTTTTTCTTGGCATGATATGACGATGAAGTCGGATACACATGACGCCCGACCCAGAGCTGGAATCACATGCGGCCAGATGTCTCTCCGTTGCTCGGCCCTCGCGCGACAAGGCACGATGAAAAACCTCCGCGTGCGCTTCCAGCAAGTGCCTTCCGTCAACATGTGAATCCAGCCATGTGTGTTTCCAGCTTCCTGGTGGGGCATGGATATGAGTTATTCCGAAGTTGTAGGAATTGGTACAGAAAGGGAGGTCCGTTGCTGAGCTAGATTGGAAGAATCATTTTGTCAGTTCGGCTCGCGTGGCTCGTTCGACTCGCGGGTGGCCAGGGTGTGTTTCGATTCCGTCGATGAGATTGTTTTCGTCCAAGTACGCCTCGGTGGACCAGCCCCGAATTCACCACCGCTTATTTTGGCTTTCAATGATACCGAAGAGAACCCAATCATAATATGTTTATGGCTTTAGGGCTATGGGGCTATAAGGCTATAGGGCTAGAAGGCTATAGGGCTACAGGGCCAGAGGGCTATAGGGCTATTTGACTATAGGAATATGGGGCTGTAGGGCTATAGGGCTATAAGGCTATAAGGCTATTAGGCCTATAGGGCTGCAGTGCTATAGGGCTATAGGGCTATACAGAGCTACTGGGCACCCGGGCATTTGGGCACCCAGGCACCCGGGCACCCGGGCACCCGGGGCACCCCGGCACCACCCGGCACCCCCGGGCGCCCCCGGGCACACGGCCGCCAGCCACCAAATCGGCGCTACACCTCACCTAACCATATGAATTCGCTAGGACCCCTACAGAGGCAAGCTCTGATTGGGGAACATTCGCGTTGCCATGTACATATCCGGCTGCTAGACGGTCCAGACAGATTGCAATCAAATCCCGATGAGGGTTGCAGTGACCACGTGAAGGAATCGCAGTGAATTACACCATTGGTAGCAATGGCGGTAATTGCAGCACGTAGCAGTCTTACCATGAGGACACGAGCGGGGATGAGTGGAAGGCGTTTTTGATGGAGTCGACGTCGGGATCAGCAGCGACAACTGCAGTGGCAGTCTCCTGGCACGCTCCGATTAGCATTTGAAGCAGAAGACTGAAGCCTGCACAGCGAACGGCAGTCGAAGTCCCCACAGCACGCATCCCGAAAAGAGCAGCCAGCAGCTATGCTCCAGAGAAGGGCTGGCTGGGAACTTTCCTCACCCTCCCAGGAGGAGGAAGAGTGATAAGAGGGAGGAATGAGGAAGAGAAGCCAGCAGGCGGAGGAGGAGAAGGCGCCGCGAGAAGAAGCGAGGATGAGGAGGTGCGCGAACGAAGCCTGCGAGCGCCCGAGAGGGCGGGGCATCCCCGACCGTTGCGAGCCGAACGCTGCGTCGGTCGGTGCCGCGGGAAGGACGACGACGACGTCGACTGCGCCGCCGCTTCGGAGGGGTCTTAGGGGATCCTGGAGGTCCTCGTGGCCACGGCTGGGCGCAGCTCGGAAAGCTGGCCAGGGTGGACCTTGCGAAGGGTCAGGCGGTGGGCAGATCGTGATCCGGCCTTCCTCTTCCTCCTCTCCTCGCCCTGGTCGGGTGTTAATAGAGGAGGTGTTATCCTAAGGTGGGGTTAGGGAACCAACCCAGCTGGATGCTCCCATTTCTGTCTTCCAGGAACCGTTGAGATCAATTTCCCTCCAAGCCCCACCTCTGCCCCTACCCCACCCTTACTTCCCCCCGACCTGGACGTGTCTGGCGTGCTCTAGTTCTGTCTGTCTGGGGGGCCCGTCTTCCAGTTCGTGTTCTCGAGGTCTCGGACGAGCCCGAGTCACGGGTGCATTTGAATTTGTTTGGCGTCGTTCCGAATTTTGCACCGCGTTTCGTCTTCGAGGGGCATGATTGTTGAACCCGCAGAACGGGAGTCATGGCGGGCCCCAGAGGGAAACACGTCCGCAGATGTTGCAACCAGTGCGTGTTCGGGGTACGGCTTCGCCGAGGGTCGGCACCATTGGTTGCAATTTTTCTCAGTGTTGGGGGCAGGCGATCTTCGGAGCCAACAGAAGGCCTTTGGAGGTCCATGGGCCACGAAGTGCGCGAGGGGCGTGCCGAATCGAAGCTCCCTGAACCGTCTGAGAGTTCAGCTGAGGGCCCCTGGGAGTCCAGGAGGCACGAAGTGTGCGAGGAGGATGTCGACTTGGGGGTCACGTTAGCCGTCGTGAGGGCCAGCAGATCGCCCGGCTCCCTGGGGCACGACACGCGCAAGGGGTGTGCCAGATTGATGCCCCAAGGAACAGTCGTTCCAGCCAGCCGCCACGATGCAAGAGGTGCGCAAGTGGTGTGCCGAATTGAGGCTCCCATAGGACTTGTTCTTCGAATTCCTCGTTTTGATTGTGCCTCAGAAGCCTGGGGGCGCAGAAACTGTGTGAGGGGTGCGCCGAAACGACGCTCTCGCAGCCCGGACGGCGCATCTCATTCGTGTTTTGACGTGCCCCAGGAGCTGTCACGAGCGCGGGCCTAGCGCTGGGAGCACGTTTCACTTGTGCTTTTGCGTGTCACCAGGAGAATTGATACAACCGGTTGGCGGGGGCCATCGGAATGGGCGAAGCCCTTCATGCTTTGCGCATTCCATCTCACTCTCCTCCATCATCCTCCCCTTCATCATCTACCCTCCGAGGTTACAACATGGCGTGTGCCCGCAAGGGGGCCGCCGAATTGAATCGTTTCGCTTATTCCGCCGGCCCACATTTTACCACTGTTGCTATATGTTGGTGTGCCCATGGCGGGCGAGAAGGAGGACATGGGATTCGATGGGGGAGGAGGAGGAGGAGGAGGAAGAGGAGGAGGAGGAGGAGGAGGCCTTGCGACGGCTTCGTTTCGCGTCTGAGACGGACCGTTCCGCACGCCGCACCGCGTTCTCTCCTTGAAGGGCACCACTATTTCAGCAGGCACACGCGAACAGGAATCTTGCTGTAAGCAGATTGGGGTCACATGTGAGCTCCCTCGATCTTGGCACCCGTTGTTACAGCTGGTCCCACGGAGCCGACATGGATCAAGGGGTGTCCGTGGTCATCTGTTGTCAAGCTATTTCCTTGTCTGATGTGCCTACAGCGACGGAGGGGGAGGGAGGGGCGACAGCAGGATCGCGAAGAGCAGGAAGAGGAGTCGGTGTTGCTCTGAAGTCGAGATTGCCAGCAGAGGGCCACTGGGATAGACGCGTGCCTCACAGTCCGCACCCCCAGCTGGCTGCACATGGTGACTGGTGGCTTTTCGACTTGGCGGTGGTGCCCTGTTCGTCCTTCCCGCCCTGTCAAAAATTGCGCTCGAACAAAGAGGTCAGAACACCTAGCTGTCTTGTTCGAAGCAATCCGCCCCCCTGGGAATGGAGGTCCTTGGGGAGAGGACACAAGGGCGCTTGCGTCAAGTCCGCCTTGCGACCCGATTGGACTCGATTTGCCGGCTGGGGACGCGATTCCGGTTCGATCCACCAGCATCGGCAGGGGCTGGCCGGAGCCAGGCGCGGCGATCCGATCTCGACTCGGTCGGAGCGATCCGCCGCCGATCCGATCTGCTTCCGTTCCGATCCGATTTCACGGTTCGATCCAGCTCAGGGCTGAAAGACCTCAACCCAACCACCCCCCCTTCATCCCGAGGTCGGTAAGAGCGCGCCCGTGGGGAACTCAATACTAAAAGGGGGGACCCAGCTTCCGGCTACCCTCCCCCCCCCTCCTTTCGAAAGGGGGGGGGAGCTTCCGAAGCTACCCCCCCCCTTTGGCCAAAGTGGGGGGGGTGAAGCAGGGTTGGCCCTGGCCAAAGGGGGGGGGGGGGGCTTCCGAAGCTACCCTCCCCCCCTCATTCCGAGGTTGGCTGCTTGCTGGAGGCGGTGGCTGCTCGGGCTCCGACTCCGATCCAGCGATCCCGTCTTCATCCTCCAGATTCGCGAGAACGGGAAAAGCTTACATCCAGGCTTCCCAAATGGGGCCGAAATAGATAGGGTCGGCGGATCGCGCCGCATCGCCGATGCATCGGCGATTCGGCTCGGCGTGGAGCCCGATTCTCTCCACGCCGACGTCGCCGATGCATCGGCAGAATACTGGCGATGCGGCGCGATCCTCCGCCCCCATCCGCTCGGACCCCATCTGGGAGGCCTCCAGTCCAGGGCCCATGTCCCCCTGGACCCACTTTCTTCATGCCAAGCTCTTGTGCTCGGGGGGGGGGGGGGGGCGTCCGCCGTGGTCGCCAGGACAGCTGCGCCGGTGCCTCTGGCTGCCATGGGAGGGGCGGCAGCAGGATCCCCGCGCGCCGCCGTTGCCGCTGTGTTGTTACCGCCGCCGCTGGGGCCGCGCCTGCTTCTGCCGCCACTGCGACTGCTTTCCCGTCTCCCCCCAGCCCTCGGGGCTGCCCTCCTGCTCCTCCTCCTCCTCCTCCTCCTCCTCCTCCTCCTCCTCCTCCTCCTGCTTCTCCTCCTCCTCCCTCCCCTCCTCCTCCTCCTCCTCCTCCTCCTCCTCCTCCTCCTCCTCATCATCATCCTCCTCCTCCTCCTCCTCCTCCTCCTCCTCCTCCTCCTCCCCCTCTTCCACATTCGTTTCAAAAAAGTTGCAAGGGTTTCAAGGATTGAAGGCGGGTGGTTTCCAAAATGTGATGCTCGCCTGAGCGCCGCGCACATTCGTTTAAAACATTGGCAAGAACTTCACAGATGACGGGCGGGTCGTTTTCAAAATGTGGCTCTCGCATGAGCACCGCGCACATGTGTTTAAGAAATTTGGAAGAGCTTCACGGATTGAGGGCGGGTCATTTTCGAAATGTGGTTCTCGCTTTATCGCAGCGCACATTCGTGTTCAAAAAAGGGCAAGAGCTTCACAGATGGAGGGTGGGTCGTCTTCAAAATGCGGCTCTCGCTGGAGCGCTGCGCACATTCGTGCAAAAAATGAGAAGAGCTTCACGGATAAAGGGCGGCTCCTTTTCAAAATGTGGCTCTCGTCTGAGCGCCGCGCACATTCGTTGAAAAAGTTGGAAGAATTTCACGGATTCCCATGATCAACGTACCAGAAATTTTGTGATGGACAGATTCAGGATTACGCGGGGGATTCAGTTATGTTGATTCGCTGTGTTGAATTCCCCTAGATGACGTTCTGGCATGACTCTGGATCGTCAAGACGCACCAGTCAGGTTGATACGTGGCGTTGGAATCCCGAGAACAATGTGTTGGCACGCTTCAGGATCTTGTAACTGTTGTCTTCCAAAGAGGAAGCTCCCTCAATGGAGATGAATCGTTGTAGGGGCACATGAGGAGGGAATTTGGAGGGAGTGTTAATTCCAACATCGTTGATGACTCTTGGGTTTCCATTGATCCCTCCTCCTCCTCCTCCTCTCCCTCCTCCTCCTCCCTCCTCCTCCTCCTCCTCCTCCTCCTCCTCCTCCTCGTCCTCCTCCGCTTGGCGCCGCCGCCCGCCACCCCGACGCTGCCCGTGGGGCCCCGCACGCCAGCGCCCGTTTGGCGCCACTGCCCGGTGCACCCCCCACGAGCCGCTGCCCGCCCGCCACCCAGGGCTCCCCTCGTCCTCTTTTTCTTCCTCCTCCTCCTCCTTCTCCTCCTCCTCCTCCTCCTCCTCCTCCTCCTCCTCCTCCTGTTCCTCTTCGTCCTCGAGTACGAGTACTCGAAGCTCTGAGCCGCCAGGCTGTGGCCGAGCGGGTGCCGCCGCGGCGGCAAGGCGGTCACCCGTCCGCCTCAGGTCCCATTCCATTCCAGTTTCCCAAGGTTCTGCAGTCCACCACCGGTCCTCCAACGTCAAGCGGGCACGGCGGCGGCTGCCTGGGCCGCTCCGCTGGATGGCACGTGAGCTCTCAAAGTGGAACGCACAGCCGAAGACCCAGTTATTCCTCCACCTCCCCCTCCTCTTCCTGCGCGTTCCTCCCTCCCCTTTTGTGGAGTCGCTATCCAACACCCCACCGATACGTCCGTTGAAATGCACAATCCCTGCATTGCGCACCGACTTTGACCATTCCACCCCTGCCCGGTTTAGGCGGGCAGCGGGTCTTGGAAGGTGCACGAACCATTTTGTTGAGTGTGCGTTGACGCTCAGACTTTGGCCCTTCAAAGGACTCGCTCACCTCTACGGGAGCAACTGAGTTGACAACATGTCGTCCAAGCCACGGCGCATAGCATGAGTTTGCCTACGTTGCAGATTGGTTCGCGCGGTGTTCCCGATTCGCGTAGCTTCACCGATCGGCCCCTTGATTCGCGATGTGGTTGTCTCACCCGTGGCGTTTCGCGTGGAGGAAAGCAAAGCCCAAGACCGAGAACCCTGGGAGCGGCTCTGGGATACCGCCCTCCACTGTCCGAGTCCAGTGTGGCCCGGTTCGAAGGAGGAACATTTGCATAAACATCAACTCTTTTGAGGTCCGCGCAGATTTTTCGGATCGGCGCTAGGCCCCTCTGGCTCGTCCAGTGGCGTGCCCCGCGCGCCAGGGATGGGGGTCCAGCGCCGATCCAAGAAACCATGCTTGTCTGTTGCCAGCCGGACAAGAAGCTAGCGGGGCCCAATCTTGTTGTGGAAAGCAACGTCGAAGAGTTTGCCGCTAGCACATGCACTACACCAGGGACACCGTGGACATTGCGGCTACGCGAGCGATTCCCGATCCATCGAGACGCTGCCACGGCTGAACAAATCACGGTAAACACACAGGAAGTTTCGGCCGCCGGATCCGAAAGTCGGCGCGCAGAACACCGTCGGGAGCGCTGCGCATTGCGGTAGTTATTTGTTTGGAACACATTAATGAGGTGCTCTTCCTGCGCAGGAAAAGCGACGATCTGTGGGCCGAGGAGGACAACGACGTAAACGATTGTCTTTCTCAGCCCTCAGAGATGCACATGTTGGTCCTTCTCCCTTGATCATGTTTTTTGATTTGCTCTGTCTGTATATATATGTTTATTATGTATCCCTTATTGTTTTCTCCATATATCTCTCTCTCTCTCTCTTTCTCTCTTTTCGTTTTGTCTCTCTCTGTCTCTATGTCTCTCTCTCTCTCTCTCTCTCCCTCTCTCTCTCTCTCTCCTTCTCTCTCTCTCTCTCTCTCTCTCCCTCTCTCTCTTCCTCTCTCTATATCTATATATATATATGTATGTCCCTCTCTCTCTCTCTCTTTCTCTCTCTCTCTCTCTCTTTCTCTCTCTCTCTCTCTCTTTATCTCTCTCTCTCTCTCTCTCTCTCTTCATCTCTTTCTATATATATATATATGAAGCATATCATATCATATCATATCATATCATATCATATAACTATAAATATACATATACATATATATATATATATTCCTCCCGCTACCCCATTGGGGGTTCAAGCCTTCCTGGGCCAATCTGGGGATCGGCCGCAATTGGCCCAAGACCAGGCACTCCGGGGCCAACTCCCGAGGCCCACAAGTTTCCGAGGCCCCCGGATTCTGCCGCGCGTCGCGACGTCGGGCCGCGCGGCGCCAGGCCGCCAGGGGAGGGACGCGCCGCCCTCGCCACGCGCCTGGGCGGGCGGCCGCTGAGCAGAGGGCGCGCAACGCCATTACGCCGCCACCGCTGGGCGGAGGAGAGCAGACGACCGTTGCGCGGCATCGGCGACCGCTTGCCGCGCAGCGATGCTGTCCGCCCATTGCCTCGCCATGCTGGCGGGCGCGCGGGCGGGCGGCAGGTGGGCCCGAGGGCACGCCAGGCCGCGGGCCGCTGGCGATCGGGCTCGCGTTCGCCGGCACCCCGCTGAGCGACGCATGGGGCCTGCCCAGCCCCAGCACCACGGGGGCACAGCACGGGTGCGACTCGTTCCTGCACGACGACCCGGAGACCCCCGTGGACTTGGCGAGGAGCTTGGCGAGCATGGGCCGCCGCCAGCGGAGGCCCCCCCGCCTTGCGACCCACCCGAGCCGCGGGCCTCCCGAGGGGGAAGGGGCGCCAATCAGTCCAGCCCCCACCCCACGTCCCCAGACGTCTCCTGGATCGGGGGCTGGGGAACCTGGATCATGAGCTGGAAGCCCTTGGGAGACCGAACCTGATCCTGGAGAGGCGAGGGTGTCGGGTGCTAGGCATTCGAAACCGTCGAGACTCTCAGTGGCGCCTTCTCAATCCAGAAGGAAGCAGGGTGGCTCCCCAAAGATGAGGCTGGCTGCCCTACCTCACGGACTACGGGGGCATGCACTTATTCGGTGCGGCTTGGCCATTCGCTGCGGGGTGGGGGCTCGCGCCCATCTTCACTGGCATCCTGGCCGTGGCCGCACACGGTCTGCTGACACTCTTCGCCCCGTGCACTTGGTGCGTCTGGGTGGCCAGCAGCTGCACCAGCAGGACAAACTTCGGCCGCCGGCGGCTCCGCAGCCCACCGCAGTGGTCTGGGCTGGGCCCAGTGCGGGTACCCCGACCACCACCGAGTAATTCGCCAAGAAGATCAAGGGGCGGGCGGGGCACGAGCCAGAAGCTCAACGACGTGCTCATCAGGATCGACGGGCACGCGGCTCGCCTCCACGTCGACCCGCAGGCCGGGAGCCGCACCAACGGCTCCGGCCTGCGGATCAACTCCGTTGTGGCGAAGAAGACCAGCTCTCGCACTGTGCAGCAGCGGCTTGAGCAGGCCGAGCCCAAGAGGACCCACCGCGACCGCTCGAACGGCTGCAGGATCACGGACGGAGACATCCACAGCCAGGAGCACGCGGCCCTCGGCCCTCATGCCATGGTCGACGCGGGCGCTCACGCCAAGCTCACCACCAGCAGGGGGCTGGCAATCGCGCGGCGCTCCTACGACGGAAGGGGCCCGCCTCTGGCGCGGCGCCATGCGTCTCGGGCGCGTGATCTGCCGTTGTAGGAGGCGCTACCGCCAGCGCCGCCGCCGTCGCAATGCGACGGGCGATGCGGCGCCCGGCGTGGCAACTGGTCTCGCTGAGATTCTGGACAAGGAGTCCGAGTCGGAAGTCGAGCGGGACGACAGTTCTTGCGAGGCAGTCCAGGTAGGGGTCGCTTTCAAGAGACGCACGCGCCCGCTAGCGGTCGACGGCTGCCACGGCGCGGCCCGGCCCGGGGCGCAACGCCTCCGCGCGCACTCGCGCCCACTACGACCGGCTGCGCCGAGCGACGCGGCTTAAGGACAAGTGCCCCCATCTGACCAGCTACCAGGAGGCCGCGGGGACGGCCGCAAGGGTGCTCCTCTGCCTCAGCCACGCGGGAGGAGAAGCCAGCCGCGCAGCTGCCACGTCGGCCCTGCTTCGGCCACCGCCGGTTTCCTCGCCAGAGTTCGGCGCTGGAACCGCGGCAGCCGCAGCTCAGGGCGCCAAGCCACCCCCCAGCGCCGCCGACGCCCTAGGGGGCCTAAGGGGCGCCCCTCGACGGGGGTCGCCTGCGCCGATTACGGGGCTGAACTCAGCACGCCCCGAGCCCCCCCCGTCGGCCCCGTTGCCCGGCCAAAACCCGAGATGGAGTTCGGGGCCACGGCGGCGAGAAACACATCGCGGCGGGGCCCGCGCCCGCTTGCCCGACGGCCCCCATTCGACCGAGCCGGACTTCGACATCAAGATCCGTTTCCGCGGCCCGCGCGGCGAGGACATCTATTCCAGAGTCAACCGGACGGGCCGCTGCCCTCCCCGAAGGTCAGGGACACGGTTCGACTGCCAGAAAATTTCCTGGAGGATTTGTCCAACACTAGCCCCTCGGCAATCGGGAGCTCGGCATTCCGGCGACGGCCACCACTGTGCCTCACCACGTTTGGGTGATATTCGCCCCCTTGGCAAGGGGGGCCGGTCGGCGGGAAGGCGCGCCAGCGCCAATGGAAGCAGCGCCGGGCCCTGGATAGCCAGCTGGTCCAGTGGCATCCCGAAGTGGACAGCGTCGGTCAGAGCTGGAAGCCATCAACCAGAGCCTCGAGCGCCACTGGAGTCGGTTGGACGCCCAAGCCTCACAAATGGCATGGCTTGGCCTTGGTTTGGCCTAGTCTGGGCCCGGTTCTGTTTGAAACGTCTTCGCATTCTGCCAGGTGTAGATTTGGTTTGGCCTGGTTCCCGCCCCGTCCCGCTTGAGACGTTCTCACAACTTTATGTGGTGCTGCGACCTGGTGGAATATTGCACAGTGGAAACCTTCGCAATTCGCACGGTCCACATTTTTCTTCGATACTGAATGCAAATTTGCACAGGTCGTGGTGGGTATGAAAACCGAAGTAATGGCAGCGCAATAAAGACCCGCTGTGGCTCACATATGGCGCGACTGCGCTACAAAACGACGGGCGGAATGGGCGTGGACAATCCCAGTGCGCTGTGAGTCGGCATGGGCGCGAGCGGCGGCGCTAGGAGAAAACACTTCTGAACCTATTGGAAGCCTCTACATTGCGCCAGCGGGGCCCAGGCTGATGAACGAGGGCGGAGGATGTCCATCTTGCATGGCGTATGAACGAGGGCGGATGATGCCCATCTTGCATTGCAGGCCAAGCGGTGCCAGACTTTCGCGGCCGCGTCCGAGGCGGCATTCAAAGAGCGCGGCGCCTGCTAAGAGGCAAGATCACCGAGGTGGCGATCGGTGCCTCGGCGACGCCGGTGGTAGGCGCGTGGGCCACGGCGGGGTCAACGCAGAGCCAGCAGAAGGGGGCCGAGGTGGCCCTGCACTGGTTCCAGGCAGCAGACCCGAGGGCAGAAAGGGGCCCCCCCGTCGCCGTTCGAGCAACTTGTCAGTTTCGACCCCGAGAAGAGCCCAGGAACACATTTTGAACGGATTTGTCCTCGCCCCCCTCCCGCTCTTGACCGATTCCTTCGGGGCCCATCCAGCGCAGACTCCCCCCCGCCGCTTCCAAGCTGCGCGCGTGTGTGCAGGCGCGGTCCCAAACGCAAGTTCGGACATGTGTGCAGGATTTACGCGAGCTTGTGGGAATCATGAGGAGTGGCGAACTTCGTGCAGCGCGACGAGCAGTTCGATTTCTATACGCCTGGCCCGATCCACCCCGAGGAGAGGTCTTACAGATGATAAGGAAACGAAATGCTCAAATTATGGACAAGCGAGCCCGGAGGCTAAACTGAGTCCGCCTGTATTGCAGCTGGGGTTGGTCAAAAAGGAACAGGTCTCATAATCCCGTCTCTTTCGGGCAATGAGGGACTGGTCGATTGAGGAAATCTGCACCAGGTCACTCGACATTGGCATTCGTAGCGTACTGCTGCAACCCCCCGACAACATTCGGAAGCTTTTGGACGACGAGAAGTTATTTCCCCCGGGTCCTCTCGGAACGTGGTGCCGCGCGCACGCAGAGTATCCTTGGCAGTTTTCACGTAACGACATTTAGCCAGAGAGCGTTTCCTGTCAATCCTCGAGCCATACAGCCCAGACGCTGAAACAGAGAACAGCTCGGGTTCGGAAAGCGCTCGCTGAACCCCAAGTCCTTCCACGGCTGCGCCTCGTCGCGCTCCACGTGGACCCAGGCTTTTCTGGGCCAGAGAAGAGCTCCGTTCCATAGTCAGCGTTCCTTACGGCAGCACGCTGCCTGACGCGGGCGCTGGACCAGGCTGAACCGAGGCGGCGGCGGACGGAAGCCGCGCGCGAGGCGGGCGTTGTGGCGGTGAGCAGAGCCCACCGCAGGCCCCACAGGGCCTGCTGGGCTGACCAGGGCAGCAGTTGTCAGCCTGCCCAGGCTCCAGGCAGCTGCTATGAGGGTCCAGGGGCGCACACCACAGAGGGGTAGAGTGAGGATGGGCCGCCCTTCGCCTCACCCCCGTCATCGAAAACTATCCCATCCTTCCGCAGGAGCTGACGCCGGTGGAGCTGGCCACACTGTCCCTCGTGATCGGCCTCCCTCTCGGCATGCTGATTCTGGTGGTCATCACGCGCGTCATCGAGAGGCGCACTCGTGCGCGCGCGCACTTCGCGCGAAGAGGTGGCAGGAGGAGGACGAGAACAAGCACGAGGAGGAGGAGGAGGAAGAGGAGGAGGAGGAGGAGGAGGAGGAAGGAGCAGGGGAGGACGAAAACGTCGCTTTGACTCGATGGGGGCATTGCGTCAGCGTGATACTATGGCCAGCAGAGAGACTGAGGAATCTTACCAATTCAGGATGAAGTACACAAGCAGCCTGACAAGAGTGCGCGACATGGGCCTTGCTCCCTTAGGAACCCCTGGAAACGTCCGAGGGAGCGGTATCTTGTACCAAGTAAAGCCGAAGTACACTAACACGCTAGGCAAGGCCAGATTTGTGCTTTTTACATAACAAGTAAAACACGCTACCACAACACTGGAGAGTAATCCAGCCCCTGAGGAAGAGCTTCCGTTGGGCCTTGGGCAGGGCGCAGGATGGCCAGGGAGTGAGGTTCTAGTATGTCGACGGCATCGAACCGACTTTTGCGAACAGCCGACAGTCTGAGGGGAGAGTCGGAGTTGACCATGCGAATGCAGTGGTATGTAGAACCACCGCCACCATCTACCCCACCTACCCTCCTCCCGCCTCCCCCGCCGCTCGAGCCAGCAGGGCAAACAGACAGTAGAGGTATGCTGTTACCAGGCTCGTCGGTAACCCAGGCCCCACAACAGGAGGTGCCAGGACAGGCAAGAAGCCATGCTTGGAAATGGGTGAACGCACAACCTGTGGGTGCGCAGAGTCTGTTACCGCAGGTCCAGGGCAGAGATCCCGAGCCAAACAGATGCTTGCCCAGGATTCAATGTGGCGTCCAGCGCAATAGCCGCGAATCCACTCAATCATCGAAGTCCTATTGCATGCAGCTCGGAGGACCAATTAATACGTACTTGCTTCTCCTGCGGAGGAATGTGCCACAGGCAGTCGGACTCGCTTGTCACGAGGAGCAAATCCAAATCTGAGGCTGGCAGCGCTGAGCCAGAAGAAACGGAAAGGTAAAGGATAAGGTTAAGTCGGGCTTGTCCCTCTACAGGAGGAACATTCAAAAATAGTCAATAAAATATGGGGACGATTATTTGAGCATGTTGTTGCTATTTTAAAACTTTGAGATTTTTTTGTTTTCGTCCAAAATCCCCCTGTTAGGGGGACACGACCGACTTAAGGATCAGGAGAAGGGGGACATAAAATAGTGGCCCAGTAGCACAGTGGGCGCGACGGTTGGACCCGCTACGGCCAGCGGAATTGAGCCCCTGCGCCCCAAACGACAGTGCTAAGCAGCTGCTGGAAACCTGACTGCGCTGCGTGGGGGAGGGAGGTAGGCTCTTTAGAAATTCAGGCGATCGCAAGCATGGATCAAGGGGGCGTGGATTAGCGATGGGTCCTGTTTCCATGGGACATCATGGGCGGATTTCCGCTGCCAGACGAGGAGGCACCGGCCGTATTTTTGGGAGGGCGCCTCCCCCGATCCATCAAATCCATGGATCCATGTTTGCGCGCCCCCGAGAAATTGGTTGAGCAAGACGCCACAAGGAGGTGCAGGCCAGACCGACCTAAGACACGCAGTTTCACTAGAGCGGCGGAGCCGAGGACGAAGTACTGTTGCTTGATTAAGCTTTGCCCCGAGCGAGCGACCTTGTCGTGCATGAAGGGGCAAAGGCACCGAGATGACTTCGAAGCGCTGTGTGGTGCCGCAGTCTGCGTGGACTTTGGCGACAAGGTCGAGGACCCGATTGTGCGTACGGGTTGGGCCAGTGGATCGAGAATCCCGGAAGGGAAGCACGAATTGATACCAACAGAAAGATGTTTGCCGTTGGCTTGATCCTGTGCGGCTGGGGAGTCCAACCCCTGAGGGCCTCAAATGCCCAAGACCAAGTAGAACAGCACGAAAGTACACTGTTTTTGGCGCGAGCGTCCTGGCTTTAGGTGCTAGAATGAGATGAGCACGCGCGGTCGGCATCGATTCGAGCATAAGAAAGCCCCGAACCGAAAAGGATGCCGGTACGAGCGAGCGCGACGTGTGTCCTTGTCGCCCGACTTCACGCCTTGACAGATTTGGCTTGAGATTTGGGCAGCCATACAGCACAGCAGCAAAGCGAGGTAGCGAGTCCATTCATATGCACGGTGGCGGATACACATCGATGGTTACAGGGGAAGGACGGAGAGGAGGAGGACCATAGTAAATCAGCGTGCGATGTTACACAACATCCTCCCGTCCGAGGTCCTCTCACCATGATTTCGTACAAGCATTCCTCTTGTAGGAGCGCCCGTTTGAACGCCGTGCTCTGTATATTCAGGCAGCAACTGTTCTGAACAGCGATTGCCTTGCATCCGATAGTCGCCAGAAACGCCCACAGGTACGATAAGAAAGCTGCCATAAACTCCCAGGAGAGCCATTGATAGAGAAGGGCTACCCTCATGGTGTTCATGCTCAAAGCCCCTGTCATGTGCACAGCCATTGCCACAGAAAACAGAAATCCAGAGACTGGATCTCAAGCGAAAGCCCCATATTGACGAGGGGCCAACGTCTTCCCATGTAGCTACGCACGAGTTTTTTCAAACAAAAAAAAAGGCGCGCTGGATTTCAAAACGAATGCACGCAGAGACAAGTTGAAGACCACCCGTTCGAAGCCACCCCACCTCCTTACGTGTAATTGTGGCAGGCGTTGAAGACGAATGCGCGCGGGGCTAGAAAGAGAGCCACATGTGGGAAACCACACCGCCTCAATCCGTGCACTTGCTGCAGGCGTTTCGGACGGATGCGCGCGGGGCTGAAGCGATACACACAGCCCACAAACGACGCACGATCCATCCATGCACCTGCCGAAATCTTCAACTTGGCCTTGACTTGTGACGACATGTCAGGCAGAACGCTTGGCTCGCCTCACCGACACATAAATTGGCACGATGAGGAGAAACAACATCTAAAACGGAAGAGGAGAATATAATAAAAGGTCGAGGAGAAACACGAGGGAGAGCGAATAGTGAGGACGGGAGATGGAGGAAAGAGCGAGGCGGCACTAGAATCGAAGAGCGAGGACAAACACGAGGAGGATGGAGGAGCAGGAAGGAGGACGATCACAGGACGATGAGCAACCCGACTTGGTATGTTACTGATGCCACACAAATCAAGCAGCACTGACCCTTAACTAAGTAGCTCTTCAGCCGCAAATGAATCCACCGAGAGAATCGCACGCCTGATTTTTGTGCCAGTCAGATCTTGTCAACGAAAACCGGATGAGCCGAATGCCTGCCACTCCGTGCCAATGGTTCGCTTAAACAAATATCGAGACCATTATGATTGAAGCTAACTCCACGACAGGCACCCTCAAAGTAGTTAGCTTGTAGAACCCCTTTTATACGAATCTTACATATTAATCTGGAAGTAATCCTCATCGTAGTCCCTACGACTACGTCGGCTCCTGGGTTGTCCTTGCCGGCGTTCACACGCTTGATTGAGGATGGCCGCCTCGGGTTACGGAAAACACTCAACAAGAGATCTGGGTTCCCGGTCGAGACGCTCGCAAGACTCAGATTCCCAGGTGTCGCCAAATTGGTGTTTCTGTTACACGGAATCTCGATGGCCTCTTCGGCTTCATAGCATGAAGCGGAGGGGCGCAGGCAGGGGCTCCGGCTCGAGACTTCCTCGCGATTCGTTCACAGGCGAGCGCCCTAGACCAGGCTCCCGCTCGAGACCCCCTCTGGATTCAGGCCCCCAGTATCCCGATGGCCGCCTCGGAGTACCAACGGGAGACGGGGACCCCAGAGGGAGTCTTCGCGACTCACTCACCGACCATGCTCCCGCTCGAGATTTCCCCAAGCTGGACGTGCGAGCAGGTGCGCGATGGTGTGAGCGGGCGCGCTTATGAGAATGGTGATGGTGATGACGGCGATGATGTTGTGAATGTGTGTGGGTGAGTGTTTGAGTGTGTGGTCAGTGTGTGAGTGGGGCGGTGACGATGATGATGATGATGATGATGATCATGATCATGATCATGATGATAATGATGGTAATGGTGATGGGAATGGTGGTGATGGTGATGATGGTGATTATGGTGATGATGATGATGAGGAGGAGGAGGAGGAGGACGCGGATGACGATGGTGATGATGATGATGATGGTGATGAGGATATCGACAGTGACGATGCTGATGGCGACGGTGAGGATGATGTGAGCGTGTGAGTAAGCGCGGATGGGTGTGACGGGCTTCTTCTTGCGCGGGGTGCCAAGTTAAACAAGAACCCCGCTTAGGACTTGGAGGGAAATACAGATTTGGATTTAAGATTCGCAAACACAGGACAAACGAGAGCTCCGAAATGCACAGCACAACTAGGATGCAACAACAATGCTCCAATAACCGTTCCGTCCCCAGGTCCCGTAGCAGGAAGGAGCAATAGGGAGGAAGGAGGACAAGGGAGGAGGACGGAGGAGGCAGGATCAGAACGGCCATGGAGGAGGGCGAGGAGGAGGAAGAGCGAGAAGGAAGAGGAGAGTGAGGAAGCAGAGGGAATGATTGGCAGAGTAGTGCGAACGCGCATGCCAGTCACTGCGGCATAACATTTATTGGAGAGGTCGCGTGCATTCGGCTTTCCGCGGTGAATCAAAAGTTTACGACGGCCAGCCTTCCGACGCAGCCCATTCCCGATTGGTTCCAGCACATCATTTCAAGATCAACGGGTATCATGTTGTTGTTGTGTTCTGGTTGAGCTGTGCGATACCGAGCCCGTACTATTGCATGTAATGGGTCATTTGCCGGATGAGGTGCAAGAGAGGACTTCCCAGGTTGGAGAGGCTTTTGGAAGAATAACGTATTCTGCCGGCTTTGGGCTGCAAGCGCACAGTCATTGCAGTTGCAGTGTACATGTCTTGATTAATGGATCCGCTCTTGGCCGCACGGACCGAAACCATACGACGGTTTTACGAAACGTCGAATATAATATCATCCCGGAAACATTAAAATACAATTTCGGAAGCATTATCCGTATTTGCAGGCATACGTAAGAGGGTTGCGCAGATTACGGATTTGTTCCGTGGTTGGTGTTCCGA